ACTATCTGTTGTTACTCGCCTATGAGTAGGCAGGCAAGTAGCCAGTCTCTGGGCCAATCAAGAGGGCTTGAGTTTCTCAGAAGGACCTGAATGGACCCTCACCTCTATCAGATGGTATTCTGGGCAGCTGTATGTCCCCAGGAGTTAAAGGCTATGACCATCAGTTTTGATGACCCTTTTGACAATAGCTCACTGCTAATTAAAGTTCCTCAAACTTGTCACGTTCTCTTTCTCACCTCAATCCCTCTGTATAGTTGCATCACCAACCCCTATCATACTATGGGACCTAACTGAAGCCATACCACATTTAAAAGCTTTCTTTGAGGACCACCTTCTATTTCTCCTCAGACAAGCTAGGTGTTGTGGGAGACCAGAATATGCTACCCCAAAATACGCCACATTGGCAAAAGGATTATTTTGAGGCTAAGGCAAGTAAGAAGAAGATTCAAGAAGAGCCCGTTGCCCTCCTCCGTTTTCTTTAAGGCAGGACATAAATTTATAAAGTGGCCCTCTTCCCATCTCTACTAGGAAAAGCAAAGGTTGATTACTAAAGACAATGTTTGACCCTTATCATCCTGGAGATGGCATCAGAAAAATCTACATAACAAACTGCAGTAACGCTTATTTATTTGCTTTCCCACAATTTGTCACCCTTAGAGACTCAAGGTCCTTTTTCTTTGTCTTGTCACTCTTCTAAAAATTTGCTGTTCTTTGCTGAAGATGCTATATTAGCCCAAGTTCTAAGCCATCTTTTTGAGATTTATTCTTTTTCCCCTGGGTATCTCCAATGTATTCATGATGTATACATATTAATAAGTTTAATTTATTTTTCTCTTGCTAATCTGTATTTTGCTACATGGCTGGGTATCAGATAAGAACTCAGAAGGATAGAGAGAGAGTAATTTTCCCTCCTTTGCAGTGTCTCACCTCTCTATTAAATACCACCTTGCACAAATGTTTTACAGAAAGTGATAAGTCAGTATGTGATCACTTTGTAATCACAGATGCACTTGACAGCAGGACAGATGAGCCTAAACCAAGACACATCAGGGGGCATTTATTTGCATGAGTTGATGTGTGTGGAGGGAAAGGGACTATGAGGAGGAGGTTCTGAGCATTTGAGACTGTGGCTGAGATGGAAGAAAGATGAGGAAATCAAGAGAACAATTTAACAGCTGGCACTCAATCTGTGGTCTGGTTCTTAAGCCTAGCCCACTGGATTAAGTCTGAGTCCTATGTAGAAGAAGGACTGCAGACAAAAGCCTTAGGGATTAAAAGTCTTGTAAAAACAACAACAACAACAGCAATAACAACAAAAAGGTATACTGAGGGCTGTTTAGAGGCCAGGCAACAGATTATGACACATGGTAAGGAAAGTGAACCTTCTTCCCATTTTTACACTAATTACCCAGCCTTCCCCAAGTTTTGAAAGGTCACCAGTGCATCTAAGACTGTTCCAGTGGAACTGTGGCACAGCCCTAGTGAGCAGTCCAGTGATAACCATGGGAATTCTGGAATGGGAAAGGAAGCCCACACCCCGCAGATGCCACTCTGCCATGTCCAGAGGGAGAGAATTTATGGGTGAACATGTAGAATAAATGATGAGTCGGCAATAAATTTGGTTTAAAAAATAATCTTAGAGACTCCCAGAAATATTTCCAGAGTGGCTTTTAAAAGGCACTGAGGATCTTACACTACAAGGGAGAAATGACTTAGCAGCCACATATAAATTATCATTGTTAATGTGATTCTATTTATAGCCATAGTCTGGAGGCCTGATCAAATCTAATTATGTTTGTATTACATTCTTAATCTACTCCCACTGCTCCTTATTCTTGGCTTTGAGATCCTTAAGTACAGAGGCTACTAATTTTTAAAAAATCTCTGTTACTGCATCACCTAGCAAGGTATCCAGCACATGGCTGTTGAATGAAGAAATAACTGTTTCCAAGTGACAAATTTAGAATAAACAGGTGGAAGTTTTGAAATTAAATCACCATAAAATACCTTTTAACAACTAGAACTCCTTATAACCATAAGAAGTCCATTATGACACAGTGAAAATATCACCACTAGAGATGTTGTCAAGGATGTTCCAGAGGAGTTACACATCTCATGGAGAGGGGTGGATCAAATCATTTCCCATTTTTGAATTGGTTGGCGTTCATTATGTGGAAACTAAGAAGAGATTAGCTATGACAAATCTGCATAAGACACTAAGCAGAAGTGATGAGTCAGCAATAAAATTTTTATAAAAGGGCTTAAAGACTATCTATAAAAATCAACTAACCTCAAATTAGAGTTCATCTGAATTGACAGTTCCCTAAAACATTGTTGTATGAAGCCATACAAATTATCTTGGGGAAAAAAAACAAAACTATACTATTGTAATTCTGAATGATTTCAGAGACTGAAATATCTACTGGACAATATCTATAGTGAAGATGTTAAATGATGAAAGGTTAAAGGAAAGATTTACAATGTGTTGAGAGTTGGCTGTGATTTGTAGACTCATAACCTGTTTCAATGTCTCTTCTATGCCACTGGAGAAGTAAATGCTAGAGCCACTTGTCTGGACTCCTCTAGCTTCCAATCAATGACTGAAGGTAACCTCATATATAAAAGGAAGATTACTGGGCAATGAAGGAAAGGTCTTGTGAGATAAATGAAGATTCACCTTAATTTAAAAGCCATAAATAGAATGATGAGGAGGACTATTTCATAATGTCAAAGTTCAAAGACATTCTTCAAATGTCTCTTTAAAGAAAATCTGACCTTTCTTTCTTTTATTATGAGAAAGTTTGCCAAAGGCAGTCTGGACCTTTGGTCATTTCATTTTGACATGGAAGTTCTTTCACTATTGAAAATAATAAAAAACCAAAAGTATTTAACTCTGAAGTGACCATGAGAAAACGTTCAGCAGTATAAAAGATAACAAAATTAAAGCATTAGGATTTCAAAAGTTGTGCTTTTATAACTCCATAAAACTTTTTCTCTATCACATATGAGAGATATAATGTATATGAAGTCATGACTAACTAAAGAAATCAGTTTGAATAGATATTTTTCCAATGTATTTCATGCTACTTTACACTTAATTTAGGACATTGGCTGAGTATATCCCGCTAGTAGCTTTCTATGCCTAAATACCTTTTTAGGCATAAATTAGTTGACATTAGATATAGATGTGAACGTAAATTAAACTTCATGGATATAAAAATCACTTATGAAAGACCACATTTTCCCATTTTGATTTCCGTTCTTAGGTAACATTTACTAACAGTAAAACTCATCTTTTGGGGGGTATGGTTTTACAAGTTTTGACAGATGCAGTTGCATAACCATAACCACAAGCAAGACACAGAGCAGTTCCACCATAACCCCGAGTTCTCCTGTACCCATTTGAAGTCAACCTCCATCTCCACCTCTAGACCCAGGCAATTACTGGTCTACTTTATGTTCCCACGATTTTGCCTTTTAAAGGAAGCCTTATAAATGGAATATACACTGTGTAGCAAAGATCTCTTTTTAAACTTCATGCACTTGATAAAAAGTAAATAAAATGTCCATTTTAATTGACTAGTTTCTATTTTTAAACTTAAAGGCAATAATATACATAAAAATCAAATTACTTTTTAATATTACATTTTGAAACAAGTATTACTCAGAAAGTCTTTTGAATATATGGATTTTTAGGACTTCACTTTCGAAGTATAGAATCAGATTCTCTCAATGTGTGTCCTGAGAATTTAGTTTCTATCAAATTATCCAAGCTTTATTCTGATTGACCAAGAAGATTTGGGAAACATTTACCCAACAGATGTTTACTAAATGAAATCAAATACCAGATTTTAAATTATGTGTGGCAATAAGATCAAAGTTCAGAGGGAGAGTCATCTAGTAGGTGATCATGTCCTTGTATGTGGCTACCACCTACTGGCTTCAGATCCTCAAAAAAGTTACTTAAACTTGATAAACCTTGTTTTTCTCCTTTGTTATGCAGGAGTAACAAAGTCTACTTCAAAAGATTGTTTTAGGAAAATGTTTATAAAGCATTTAGCATAGCATAGTACCTGGCACACTTAGCATAGTACCTGACACATTTAGCACTTCATTGAATGCAGGCTGCTCATATTTCTGGCATTGGTATTAGTATTATCATCATTGCCATTATCACATTGTCCTGGGTGCTTTATATGTCTTTCTCTACATCTCTGCATTTTCATCAATTTCACTATTTTTTAGCCCTTCCTCTGGAGGTGACCAAAGTAAAGAGAATCAATTTTTGTAGCTCCCCAGCTATTATTCAGGGCCATGTAAAGACAAGAGAAATTCATTGATTGTCTCCAACCCTCACTTATACCCTGCAATAGCCTCAAAGATGCCAAGGGGGACAAAAAGTGAATTACTGGAAATTCTCACTGTTTCTTCTCCCCACCAAGGGGATGTTTTTGGTCAAATATAAATAGACAAAAGGGAGGAAGAAAAACAAAGGGCCAGAATAAAGCAGAAAATTAAACAGTCTGCATAGTTACGATCTATCTAAAAATCGACTTTATTCATTAATAGACTTAATCAAATGTTTGGTATGAAGAGAAATTGGAATATTGGCTTAAAGAAAACAGGTTTGCTTCTTGCTACTCCATAATAACTTGCATAAAAAGCTTGGATTCAAAGTTCAGAAATCAGCAGAATATTTTAAGATTTATTTCAAAACATTACAAGATTCAGGAAATAGGGAGACTAAAAGCTAAAGGCAATGTTTTAATCATATTACAAGTACTAAAATTTGGCCTTAAAAATGGATTGCAAACTAGGTTTATATGCATTTATTTTTAAGCTATAGTTTTTATTTATGCCCTGAAATACAGAAGAGTGATGTTTGGTTGCCTTGCTAATACAGAGAAAGAACATTACTTATCCTTCAATAATTATGCAACACTGCTAACACCAGGGGCCAAAGAGCATCAAAAGACAAACATGAACCCCACAAGCCCTACCTGTTTTCAGCATCAGCACTGCACTTTGGGGACATCAATTCAAAGGATTTGGTAAACTTCACCACCTACCGCAAAGAAAGAAAATAAATCCAGGTCAATTAAAGCTTTCTCACAGTTGAAAATAATGCAATAAACATTTTTCAGTTTTGTAATGATTATTATAAAAATTGGAGATTATGGAGAGATTTTAAGTGGAGAAATCCCAAGGGAGAGAAGAAGAAGAGAAAATTTCCATCCTACATTTTGTATTTTACTTCTTATACAGCATACATTGCCAAAGTTTTAATACATTTTACTATACAAACACAAACACACATTTATATATACATTTGCAATTAGGTATACAATGATCTGTGGTGGTCAGACAAAGGAACATCTCATTTGAATACATTTTTTTTTACTGTTCTTTTAACAATCCAGTCACCATCAATAAAGAACCAGGTAGAAATAGAACACTCCTCAAAAAGGATGCTCTCTATCAACCCCAGGCTCATGAAGTTAGCTCATCATTGTTCTCAGGTGAACTTTGTGGTACCACAACCTTAAGGTCAAAAAAGAGAAAGCCACATTCTTTAACAACCATCCTTTATGTGGACACTTCCTCCCTCACCTGTCCAGTGATACCAGCATACCCAGGGCAAGAGTCTGACTAAAACTTATTATGTTGAAGGAAATTTATAGCACAGAAAATGTTAATGCAGTTTCTCTTCTTTTTAGATACTATTGAGTTCTTACTATAAAGCAAACACTACATCAGAATCTTCTTTGATTATTCAATTGCTTTATTATAACCCTGTCAAGTAGGTATCTTTATCCCCAGTCTACAGATAAGGAAACTAACCATTAATTTTTTAAGAAACTTGATTGGTTTCACACAATTACATGAACCAACTGACATTTTTTTAAAATAAATATTTTTTATTATGATATTGTGGAGTACAGTTAAGGGTTAGGTATACAAATATGTTTTGTTCAGGCACCCTTGTTGATAAGAGGTGTCTCTCCAACCCCAGACAGATGTTTACTACCATTAGTCCCATCTCCCCCCGCCCATAGTTTCCCACTGTCAGTCATTTTCTTATGGTAGTACTTTGGATGATCAAGGTCCACTATATGAGTGAGAACATGTGATACTCAGATCTTTGTTTCTGTGAGAGGTCACTCAGTATTATAGACTCTAGTTCCATCCAGGTTGCTGCGAAATTCATGATTTTGTTCTTTTTTATGGCTGCATAGTATTCCATCATGTATATGTACCACATTTTTTTAATCCAGTCCTCTTTTGATGGATAGCATGGTTGGTTTCAGGTTCTTCATATGGAAACAACAAACAACCATGAATAGCCAGAACAATCCTCAGCAAAAAGAAACAACTGACATTTTAAGAAAGTCTTTCTGACCTTAGAACACCAGTTCTTTCAACAACACTACAAATGTTGAGTAAGAAAAGCATCATTCTGGCCCTTGTAGTGGCAGAGGGAAAGCCTTCCTTTCATCCTCTGTAGTTTTGTGGAAGTAAATTGACCATAGATAGATGAACAGGAGAGGAAGCAAACACATTTATTAATGCACAGAAGCACAGAAACCACACAAAATGTGAGACTCAAGGGCCAGATGACTGAAGCTTAAATATCACCCTCTTGATAGAAGAGAGAGATGGGGAGCATAGGAAACTCTAAAAGGTAGTAAATGATTTTCAGGGGAATTAAATGAGTCCAAAAAATAGACAATGGCTTGGGACAAAGTTTTACTGAGGTCTACAAGGGGTGGAGGGAAAGTTAGGGGCAAAACTTTAGTGAACAAAGGTTGTCTTATATGGATAAAGTCTCCCAAGTAATTTCTTGGAGCTATCCTCAGAAGAATAGATTAAAAGGTCTGCCTGGGCATGGTAACATTCCTCAGTCTTCCTTCCTCTGATATGAGTATAATATTCTCTGGTTAGTAAAATTTCAGGGAAGGGATGGAAGGCAAGTGTGTTTATTCTGGAGGAACTTCAGAGAAGGAAACTTCAGAGAAAGAGTTCTTCCTTACACTTGTAGTAAGGAACGAGGTTAGAAAGTCCTTGGTTCTGAGGCTCAAATTTAAGTTCTTTTAATTTCCTTTAGGTCAAAGTACTAAGTATGCCAAAGCACCATACTTTGTAATTTCCTTTTCTGAGCTCCAATACCCTTTTTTTAACAAGATACACCACATCATAGAAAAACAAGTTCCCTGTGGTGAAAGGAGAACATCTGAATGTCACAGGATGCTTCCAAGGTTGACATTTAGATTTACCTTAGCCATATGCAGTCATACTTCAAAGACTTTTTAAATTAACCACTTATAAGGAATTGATGGGCAACTGAGAAAATTATTTGGATGCTGAAAACAGATTAAATATTAATACAGCTTTATGATGAATGATAATGAATCCAAGCTAGGAAAATGCAACATAGGAAAAAGAAAAGTCCATCTCCAAGAAAATGGTGTGTGACTAACTGAATATAGGGAAGTGACCATAACTCAACTGCAAAAAAATGCCCTTGACAACCATAGAACATATTTCATTTCGTATTGCATGTAATTTAAGCACTACAGAATCATTCATTGTGGCAAATTTTGTTTTCCAAAGATGGTCACAACAATATTTCCTACCCCATTTTCTTCTCCACAATGTGACCCTGCCACCTTTCTACCAAGTGGTAGAATCTGTGTCCCCTCCCTTTGAATCTGGTGGGCTTCTGAAGGTTTCAATCTAAAGAACATATGGAAGAGATGGTATGTGCCTTCTGAGATTGTAATAAAAAGACAATGCAGCTTCTGCCTTGTCTGATGAAATATTTGTGGCTGAAGCCCAGAGTCACAATGTAAGAAGCCCAACTACCTTGAGGTCCCTTAGCTGAAAGGGAGCCAAACCATGTAGAGACGTTCTGGTCAGCAACCCCAGTCTTTAAGCATTCCAGCCCAGGTACCAGATGTGTGAATGAATAAACCTTCAGATGATTCTAGTTCCCAGTCAACACCAGTCTTCAGATTTTCCCAACTGTGGCTCCATGTATCCTGGAAAGAGAAAAGCCACCTCTACTGTGTCCTCTCCAAATTCCTGACACATTGGATCTGTGAGTAGAATAATACTGTCGGTTTAAACCTCTAAATTTGAGCGTATTTGTTACACAGCAAAAGTAACCAGAACATCACTTTAGAAATCTTGATCCAGATAGTATTCTTGAGTCTCACAGGACCAGCAAGCCACAAAGAAACTATTTTCTATCACCAAATAGTAAATCCTTCAAAATATGCCCTAATTAATTTTTAGAGTTGAAACAATAATAGGATAAAAAGTAGAAGCATTTCATTTGTTTTCAAGGGGGAAGTTGTCTCAGATCTTAAAAGAGAAAATTAGTTCTCTCCTATCTATCTCCACTTTGATTGCTCATTGTTTGTGACTTCCTTACTTTATTTTGCTTAGATGACAGTAAATTCTTACATTTTTTACCATGTTCTAAGCTGTGTCCTTCCATTTTACTGCAAAAGAGGCATTTTTGCACATTATGGCCAGTCCTTTACATATGCATCAATGCTGCAACATTCCAGCAAGGTAGATATTATTCTTATTTTATTGAAGAAAAATTAAGGCTTTGAAGGGTTAAGTGGTTCACTGGAAGCCATATAAGCAGTAAATTACAGAACTAGGATTCAAACCATGTCGGCTGATTTCATAGTCCATTTCCCCACTACTTCTCACTGCTTTCATAAGCAAAAGCAAGTAATATTGCAATTGCAAATTATTTGAACATGACTCCTTCAAAGCCACAATATTTAGATGAACTCTGCCTTTATTTATTAATTCTACAAATATATATTGAGTACTTATTATATGTCCAAATTTAAATAAACACAGACTAAAAAAAAAACTTGAAGTAGAACACTTGGCTGGGTATAAGAGTAATCAAATTACCAATAAGCTATTAATTGTTTCGGCATTTGGAAATCAGACAGAATTTATCCTTTAATTTCTGATCTGATAGATGGGATCAAATCCTCCTGTATTACTAAGAATACTTCATTTGGCTTAATTTTTTTTACTATTGATTAGAATATTTTACAACTCTATAAAAGTAGATGTTACCTTTTGAAAAACTAATAGCAATGCCAGTGAGTTTTGCCCTATAGCATGGCATATGAATTTTCTCCAAGTGAAGGTGCAAATGATTTCTGTGCAGTAGAAAAGAAAAGCCCAATAATTACAATTTTATTGTCCTGGATGATAGTAACCATTTAAAAAAATCTGATCTAGCATTTGCATGCTAGCATTCTTCCAAGTGCTTATTTTAGAACCAACTTCACCATCCTGCTGTTTCTCTCATTAACGAGTTAAATATGTCTTTGATATGTGCTTGCTTTATATTTGTGCATGAGTTAGGTTTTTAACTTTTTGAATACTGTCCTCTGACATGTGTCAAACATTGTAATAGACACTGGAGCTTCGAGTGGGAAAGTAAAAGAAAATAATATCCCTGCACTTATGCAGATTGCTTTATGGTAGGGAACTTAATTTGCCCTGGCTCCTCAAAATTAGTGCTCCCTGGAAAACTGTGTACTTCCAGTTTTACACCTTAAGAAAACAAACTTGAGAAATACCCAGAAAATAAAGAAAATGAAGATCTTTTAAAAATATTTTTTCCATCTGAGAGATAGAAGTTGAGGGGTATAAGAAATTAAATAGGAGATCCTTGAGTTTTACAGCTATGGAACTTAAAGATCTAGAATCAGAAAGAGAATGGATAAGATATGCAAACACCTCTTGATGAAATGTCAGAATATTTGAATTCTTGAGATGTAAAAAAGGAGCTCTTAAAACTACTAAAAGAAGAAAACACTTAAAATGTTAAAGCTTTTTGCTCCAATGTAAATCACAGACTGAAAAGAAAACAGGGCCAAAACATTTTATTCTATTTGTTTTGTTTCTAAATTCATGTTTAATGAACAAAGGGAAAGTCAAGGATTATGTATTTTTTTATTTTAAAGATATGGGGTACAATTCAGAATCAGGTATACAAGTGGTCATCATACTGGTAAAGTTTTG